TCTCTCTCTCTCTCTCTCTCTCTCTCTCTCTCTCTCTCTCCTCTCTGTGTGTGTATGTGTGTGTGTGTATGTGTATGTGTGTGTGTGTGTGTGTGTATGTGTATGTGTGTGTGTGTATTTTAAGCTGCTATTCCTGATTTTAATTCTAACATGTTTAGGTAAAGACATTATAATTTTTGAATTTAAAAAATGCATATAAAATATAAATACTTGTGTTATCTACCATAAAGCATTTCCATTATCATCACCTTTCATTGTTCATTGCATGGAGCTTCCATTCCTCAACATTTCTTTTCCTTGACTAAGCAACACTTACTCTGGTTGATACACTCTGAAGGTGATGCGAATAGGTCATTCAAGTGAGGTTTCTTTGTAATTTTCTTTCAGAAGAGGAAGCTTTCTCCAGCTAGTGCTTCTGTGGCATGAAAAGAGGCACCCAGAGCAGCAGAATCTAGAGCTTTGTCAATCATGAAGACTTTGAAGTGAACCCTTGTTGCAATTCTTGAATATTTAAAATTTACAGTAGACATCAACTCAAGTTAGTAAAGTGCTACAGTTTTTTTTTTTGACAAAGTTTACAAATTGCCTCAGCCTGATAAATAATTCTTTCCCACTCACTCACTGAAGTTGCAAAGGAACTGTTTGCTGTTTGGGATTTGTATTTAAATATATGTATTTAAATATAAACTTTTTTCTGTTTGGGAACTGTTTCCTGTTAGTGCTCCGTGGGACAGAGGGGGCTGCAGTGGAGACTGAGCTGTCAATTGCAGAAGATGCACCTTTGGCTTTGGGCTTTGGCTTTTGCTCTGTATCCTGAGCCACAGAGCAGCATGGCTTTGGAATCTCACAGCAACACACTCTCATGGTTCAAGATTTAAAGTTACCCTCCTTTTTGGCTGGAAGACTTAGAAGCCACATTCTCATTTTACAGATGAAGAAACAAGGCCCAGAAGTGTGAAATCAGTTTCCTTACAGCAGATGAGAGATGGAACTGGACCTAGTATGCAAGCTCATTCCACATCACTCGTACTAACTCTTCATGAAGTTGTGATGTTCAGGCTAAAATTAAAATTAAAAATGCCAAATAGTTTTGCCAGCATCTTTTTTCAACTGGGAAAATTACTAGGACTTAAATGTTAAACTTAAAAAAAATATGAATCACCGTGTGTACTAAATTACAGAGCAGCATATTTAACATAATCTGAGAAGCTGTAGATTGTAAATTATGCCACTGTTTCATGTACCACTCTGAAGGTGGGTTAGTGAAGGTGCCAATAGGTTTGTGACAGCCTGTTGACAGTCAAACCCATTTGAATTTGAGACAGTAAATTGTGACCAAAAAAAAAAAAAGTTCCTAGAATCAATGACATATGGCATTTAGATTATCTTCAATTCTGGGTCTTTATAATCTCTTGAAAACTTGCTAGACCCTGGAATCTTTCAAGAGTCAGTCTAACCCTTTTACAAATATTTGGCTCTTCCTCTGTCACCCATAAGCTATGGGGYGTTATGTACCTTTCATACAACTTTTGAGCAATGGGAAAATGGTGCATTTTAGTTAAAAGGAAAACAGCACTATTGCTTGTATGTTGTAAAGGTCACTACAAGGAGCAAATATTTATCTCTCCTGCCCTGTGCAATAACTTTCCTGGAACTATAGAAAAAAATGACTAAAAGAAGATTAATTATTCCCCCCTTTTAATATAAGGTGCTTCTAAGTGTGACAGCTTCTTATCATAGCAGGAAACTTGCATCAGTTGAATATCCTTTTGAGAAATTCATGTTGCAAAGGACCATTGACTTCCCCAAACTGAAACAGGCTCAGGAAATTTGCCTTTGCATTCAGATATGTTTTTAACTTTATTATTTATTGTTGGCTCCTCAGGGATTTCACTTTTCTATCAGTGTAATTGATGTAAAAGTGTTTTATGAATAGAAAATGATAATTTTATTGCTCTTTAAGTTTATTTGAAGTAAAATAAAGGTTCTTGGTGATTTGGGATTTCTTTTGCATTTTGTGTTAAAGACATCTCTCTTCCAAGCTTTTTATTTGACCCCTTGTCCCGTTTGCAGCTGTTAGACAACAGAAAAAGAAAGTTCTGGCTAGGAAGGCAAAAAAGAGTGCATTATAGAGCAAGCTACACAGTGGGCAACTGGGGCCTAATCCTGCGGGAACTCCCACCCGTCGCTGATGAGGGCTTGCAGGAGGCACTACTTTCCTGGCCCTTCTGGGATGCCTGTAATGATGGCAGAGTAGTTTTCAGGCAGGGACACATTCACTGGCGGTTGGAAATTGGGTTGGTGCTTAAGGGAATGGTAAATACTGAGGGGTTATAGATGGGACAGTGACAGTGTCTGGCCCCTGTGTGTCTTAGATCCATCTGCGGTTCATTAATTTGACTCCATCCTGTTATCACTTCTTCAAATCCCAACTTCCAAACTCTCTCTCTCTCTCTCTCTCTCTCTCTCTCTCTCTCTCTCTCTCACACACACACACACACACACACACACACACACTAGGAAATTTAGTAGGAAATTTAGTAGGATAACGTAGTCTCCCTGGTCCTAAATCCATAATTGATATGAAGGGTGGCCATCTGCCATCTACAAGACAAGGAGAGGCATCGGACACAGTTTTAGTGGAACTTTTTCCATGTCCTCTGGTAAATATATCCCCTACCAACTTTATGGCCCAGTAGAACCTGAAATTGAAGGGATAGGAAGCATAAATTCCCCCGGTGGGTCAGTAGGAGCTATGGTGACAGAGACCACTTTAATCCCTTGGTTCCTAGACCTCTGTTTTCTACTTATTATAATTATAATCCATATTCAAATTTACCTATTAGAAAATTGTGGCCATATAAGCATCATAATGCTTCATCTGGGCCAGTACCCTAACCCTCCAAAGTATCATTCTTAAGCTGCTGCACCTTTAAGAGACCATCCCAACATTCCAACAGGACAGAACTCCAAGACAATGTGTATAGAGCAAGACATATTTGTATTGTCATACTAGTATTGTCATACTACCTTCACTGCAAAAGATCTCTTGGTATAAGGCAGGCATGCTGAATGGGGCATGATGGTTCCCAAGGTGGTCAAAATTGTTTTTTCTGGAAATATTATTTCGGCTCACTGTTTCAGAGGTTTCAATCCACAGTTAGCAGGTTCCATTGCTTTGGGCCTAAGATGGGGCAGAATATCAGGGTGGATATGTGTCCCCAAGGAAAGCTTCTCAGCTCATGGCAGTCAGAAAGGAGAGAGGGAGAGGGAGAGGGAGAGGGAGAGGAGGGGGAGAGAGAGAGAGAGAGAGAGAGAGAGAGAGAGAGAGAGAGAGAGAGAGAGGGGGAGAGACAGAGGAAGAGAGAGAGGGAGAGAGAGAGAGAGAGAGAGAGAGAGAGAGAGAGAGAGAGAGAGAGAAACAGAGAGGGACAGGATACAGTCCCCAAGGGCACATCCCCAGTGACCCACTTCCTCCGACAAGGCCCTACCACCTTCAGTTTACACCACCTTCCATAGTCCATTCAAATTATTTATCCATCAATGGGTTGATCCATTGGTGAGGTCAGAGTCCTCATGATCAAATCACTTTCCCCAATTCCCATCTCTGAACATCGCTGCTTTGGTGACCAAGACTTCAACACATGAGAATTTAGGGAACATTCCAGATGCAAACCATAAGAATGGACAAAATGAATCTTACTCTTTTGAGGCCTAAAGAGGATATACATGCAGTACAAAAAAACCAGAAATACAGTGTGGCTGTTGTATTAATATTTCTCAGGGATGGCAATTAGGAAAAAACATGTCTAAAGGCCCTTTAGGAGAGTGATAATGAAAAACAATTTGAGAAACTCTTGTCTAAAGTTAGTTTTTTAAATGTTTATTTTTTAGTTGTAGTTGGACACTTTATTATTTTTTTTTTAATTTATATGTGGTGCTAAGGGTCGAACCCAGGGCCTCACACATGCTAGGCAAGCACTCTAACACTGAGCCACAACCCCAGCCCCTAAAGTTATGTTTTGTGGAACTCCATAATGATATATCAGTCACTCTCTAAGCCCTTGGACCGTGGTGCTGGCCCAGGCACAATGCAGGCCAAGAGGGCAAATCCATTCTTGGAATTAATCCCAATAGAGAGGAATTTCTGCCCCTTACAGGGCAAAAGAGGTTTGATGGAATAAGTTCACCACCAAGTGGCTGGTTGGTCTCTTTGAGGGATAGTAATGCATTTAGGGTTCAGTCCTAACCATTGGGCTAATTGGTTAGATAATCATCAGTAGGCAATAGATCAGAGTGGGTCAGCGGAGGGTCCCTGAATAGTCTCCATTTCTCCCAACATGGCTATCTGTTCATGAACTCACTGAGAAAGCACTAGAGTAGCCAAGGACAGAGTCCAGCTCACTTCCGGCAATGTGGCATCCTATCCCCCTTCCCCGCCTCATTGTTCTGCTCATCCTCTGTGATGGATATTCTCTTGTGAGTGTTGATAAGACAAAGGTTTGTACATTTTCTTGCCCATTCCCACGGGCCCACCCTTACTCTTCTTCCCTAGACCTCTTTGTCTTTTTCTAAGTTTCTTTCCTGATCAATCAGTCATGTGCTACTGCCCATGAGTCAATGTATTTACCTTGGACCACATCTTCCTTCACAGTAAGTTCATGACTGGCTGGATTGCATGATGCACTACCTCTTGGGAGTGCTTGTCTTCTCTGTTTTTTGCAGTCACTTCTGAGTGGGGCTGTAGTGTGACAGCCATCCTCAAAAAGACCAACAATAGCACGCACAACCCACCTGTTGCTCAGTTTTTTCTTCCTTACCAACTGGGTTGAAGGAAATTTATAAAGGCTATAAGTATGAGCTGGAGGAGAGACCCAGGTGCAACAGAGAACTGATAGGCCTGCATTACCTGTTGGATACCATGCCTGGGCTTTCTGGATTCACTTAGGCCTGATCCAGAATGCACTGCGCACCATATCCATTGCAGGGTGGATTTCTGATGTGCCCACCTTGTCTATGACTCAGGGGATATGAAGAAAGCTGACGTAATTTAGAAGTAACATTTTTTAAAAATATTCATATTTCCTTTATAATTTTACAAAATGCATCTCTCTCTCTCTCTCTCTCTCTCTCTCTCTCTCTTGGTATCAAGGATTGAACTCAGGAGCACTCAACCATTGAGTCACATCCTCAGCCCAATTTTTGTATTTTATTAGACACACGGTCTCACTTAGAGCCTTGCCTTTGCTGAGGCTAGCTTTGAACTCGAGACCCTCCTGTCTCAGCCTCCTAAACTGCTGGAATTATAGGCGTGTGCCACTGCACCTGGCTCAAAATGCATCTCTTTATTTGCACATTTTTGTGACAGTAAGGATTGAACCCAGGAACATTCTATTATTGAGCTACATCCCCAAGCCTTTTAACTTTATTTTTTATTTTAAGACAGTATCTCACAAAATTGACTAAGTTGCCCAGACTGGTCTTAAATTTGCCATCGTGTGCTTCAGCCTCCTAAGTAGCTGGGAGTAGAGGTATGTGCTACCATTCTTGGCTCTTTGCATCTCTTTAAATGCCACCTTAGCAGCTTTCTGGTGTCCCCACTATTCTCTGAGTGACCCGAACTTATGATTTTCTTTAGCCCGAAACAACAATTGATAACCAACCTATTCTATTATCATTTGCCTCCATACCTTTAAAAGACATTGATGTTGGGTGAACTCCTGCACCTGACTTATACCTCAAGCCCCACAGGGGAGGCCAGAGTCATTATGATGCTGCAGCACATATGTGATCATATTCCACTGCCAGTGACATGCTTGTCATTTGGCCAGGTGGGAATAATTGCAGAATGCTATCCTGACACTACTGCTGAGTACCATTTATGATACCAGCCGTCTTACTCTGAGGTCCCCCAGAAAGAGGGACTGAGAAAAGGATTTGAGATCAAGAAGTGTACTGAGGAGGTGAACTAAGAAAACATCAATCGTGGAATGGGAAGTGAGAAAGGGAATAAAAGGAAGTAAATAGAGTATGCTATCAATCAAGTTGCTGATGTGGGAAACTGGGGCTTAATTCCCCTGGAGGACTCTGGGAAACAGCATATACTATCTGAGAACTAGTTCAGCCAAGGAAGGGGTGAGGGAACTGAGTGTTAGTATTAGTTTGCTAGAACTGTTGTAATCATAAACTGAGTGGCTTAAATAACAGTTTTGGAGGCTGGAAGTCCTCCAAAGATAAGGTGTGGACAAGACTGGTTTGTTCTGAGGACTGAGGGAGAATCTGTTCCAGATCTCTCTCCTCGCATTGCAGTTGGCCATCTTTTTCTCTGTGTCTTCCTGATGTCTTCCTTCTATAGGTCTCTGTGTCCAAATTGTCATTCTTTGTAAGGGCAACAATTGTAACAGATCAGAAGCCTCCCTTATGATCTCGTTTTAACTTGATTTCTCCTGTAAAGACCCAATCTCCAAATAAGGTCACATTCTGAGATACTAGGGGTTTAGGAATTTGGAGAGGGGACATAACTCAATCTGTAACTGTATTTATATGCCAACTTCCACATGTGTTACTGGCTGAGGGTTGCCTCAGTTTGTATTATTTCTCTGACACTTCCGTACCAGTGGTCAAAGGGAGCTCGAGACAAAGAGATGCTAGTTGTTGGGATTTGGGGCTGCACACTCAGAAATGTAAATGTCACAGAATGTGAGTGGGGGCCCTAAAAGTGTCAGATGCTTTGGGGCTGCAAATGTCTATTTCTTTGACTTTTCAACTTTCTTGTTCTTTTAGCAGAGAAGATTATGAGGACAATAACAGAATAAAGGACAAATATTTTTATGCTCTCCTGTTTATAGAAACAAAATTCTGTTAATGGAAGAGACCCTATCTAAGGAAGACACTCTGCTAACAAAATGTAGGCTGGCCCTTTTTGGTATTTGCTTGTCCCACAAGTGTATTGTCTCAAGACACTGAAATAACTTAGAAGTTGCATGATTGCTTCTCAGTTTTGCAAAAATGTATTTAGTAATCAAGAATGATGAAATATTGTCTTTTACAGAATGTTGTAAAGGAAGTAATTGATTATTGTAGACTAAATGACTTCTCGGAAATCATGTTAGATGTTGCATCAATGGGGAATGGCCACCAGATGGCAACCAGAGACCATGCAATGGATTTTGTAAGCAAGCATAAGAAAGATCAACCCAGGGCTCCTTTGTGAGTCTGGCAACTTTCACCGAACTAGTTATAACAAATGACAAGTACTAGTCCAGATTGCGACATAGTCACATTAATTTTTGTAATGCTATAATATGAGAAATAGTCTTTTTATGAAAGACTAGTTCCGTTTTTAATTGATCAGGGTTTTTCTCATGAGATTAAATAGTATTTCAAATTCTCAAAGTTGCAGTGAAAATTAACACAACCTGTTAGAGAAAAATTTGACATATATTTATCAAAATTGAAACAAGAATCAGCCTCTGAAAACATTTTCACATCTAAGAATCTATCTTATTGAAATACATATTCATAGGGCTGGGGCTGTAGCTCAGTGGCAGAGCGCTTGCCTAGCATATGTAAGGCACTGGGTTCGATTCTTAGTACCACATAAAAATAATAAAACAAAGTAAAGGCATTCTGTCCATCTACAACTACAAAAAAATTGAAAAAAATACACATGTATAGACATATATAAGAATGATCACTTTTATAAGCATTTTTTATTTGTTACAAGCATTGTTTTTAATAGAGAAAAAATTGCAAGCAGTTTAATGTCTATCAGAAGTCTATTTAAATAAAAATTAACTAAGGGAAAAAATGAGGTAGAATTTTCTGTTTCTGAAAAAAAAAGGATATCCAAGATTTATTAATTAAAAGGTCACAGATGATATATACATAGACGTTGAGTATTCATGAGTGTGTTATTTGTATATGGATTGGAAAAAATAACACTGAACTGTTATAATAGTCAATTCTGGGAGAGGAGAATTAACTTATTGGCACATGGACATCTGTACTGTTTGCAGACACATTTAAAAATAATTATAATTTAACTGGGCGTGGTGGTACATGCCTGTAGTCCCAGCTACTCAGGAGGTTGAGGCAGGAAGGTTGGTTGAGCCTATGAGTTCGGGACCAGCCTGAGAAACACAGGGAGACCACATTTCAAAAAAAAAAAAAATACATTGTAATTTTAAGATATTATAGAAATTTTTGAAGGAAAGCAAAAGTGTATAATCTCAACAACTAACAGTCAATATACTGTGACTATTATGAAGAATACAGTATCTTTTTAAAAAATTAAAAATAGTTGTACACATTTTATGGGATACAGTGTGATAAGTCAATACATTCATACAATGTGTAATGATCAATAAGGGTAATTAGCATTTCCATTTCCTTGAATATTTATCATTTCTTTGTGTTTGGAGATTTGGAGTTTCTCTTTTCTAAGTTGTTTGTAAAATATGTAATGAATTGTGCAAATATATTCACCCTACTGTTCGGTAGAGCACCAGCACTTATCCCTCCCATCTATGACTTATCCCCTCATGTTCTTGTCCTCTAGGGAACACTATTCTTCTCTCTACTTCTGAGATTAGTTTTTTTAGCTTCCAAATATAAGTGAGAACATACATTTTTTTCAAGGCAATATTTCTAGAATGAAATATATCTGAACTTTATCTTGTCCCCAATGTGTAAGTATAGAAAGCTGCAAATGTGGAGAAGATAAGCCTGGCTTCCTATCTTAAAGCCTATTTATGTAGTATTACTGCCTAGGTTCAAATCTCAGCTCCACTATTTAGTAACTGTGTGGCCTTAGGCAAACAATTCAACCTCTCTGAGCCTTAACTTTCTCTATGAAATGAAAACAATAAAATCATCAACTTTGTAGGGTTAGGAGAACCAAATGATTTAATATGTGAAAAGTACTTAGAACAACACCCGGAAGATAGTAAGAGCTCAGGAAATGTTGGTGGTACAGCACAGGGTAGCAAATCCCTTCACTGCTAATTTGGCTCTGCTTACTCTCAAGGCAAAATTTTTAGCATCTCTGCAAACAGCAATTATAAATAGAAAAGACAATTTGTAGTTGTTTTATTTTTTGAAATTAATCTGTTAAATTATTTTGAGATTAGCTTTCAATTTCATATACACCACACATTTAAATTTGCCAGGTCTCTTCACCAGCTAAAGCAGCCTCCTTTGAGTTGCTTTCTAAAGGACCCTCATTTCCTCCCTTCTCTTCCTTCTCCCAACCTCCTTGGTTAACTCCTTTTTATATGCAGCTCACCTGCCCTCGTGTAACCTTTTTATTCCATCTTTTCAAAGTAGATCTCTTTTCCCCACAGATAGCAACATCATGATTTATTTATGCGTTGTGTGGGCTTCCCAACTAAACTGTAAAATTGCAAAAACACGCAAGTACTGGTTCTGTCTTGCAGACCAAGTAGTGGGTAGTACATAGTAGAACTTTAAGAGTGAAAAGGAATTTGAATTGGTGGAGACCAGTGAGGGTATTTCAAACTGGGAGAAATATCAGCAGAAGTTTCCAATAGTACCTGGGCATGGTGGTGTGTACCTGTCATCCAGCTATTTAGGAAGCTGAGGCAGGAGGATTGCTTGAGCTCAGGGAGGGATGATGGGGTGGGGTGAATCAATGGGTACTTAGTTAGATAGAATAAGTAAGTTCTGGTGTTCTACTGCATTGTAGGATGACTATAAATAATAAACTGTATATTTTGAATGTGTTCACAAAAAATGGTGTTAGAGAAGATAGATATTTATGTTCTTTTTGGAGCATATGTCTCTTTTCCAGCCTGGAATTTCTATGGAAATAATAATGAATAAATACCATTTATTGAGATGTCTGTTGCTGCAGATACCTTTCTCAGTTAGCCCATTTAATACTCCTGACATCTCAAACATCAAACATCTCAAAAATCTTACCCTGATTTTTTCTCCTATACTGCAGATTTAAACCACTGGTACCTTACACTGAGCTACATGCTCATCTCTTCTCCCTTCCTTTTTTTTTTTTTTTTTGAAATAGGGTCTTACCAAGTTTCCAAGGCTGCCCTGGAACTTGTGATCCTCCTTCTTCAGTTTCCTGAGTTGCTGGAATTATAGGCAAGTGCCATCACTTCCCACACTTATCTTGATTTGAACATTACATAGTGTATATGTGTATCAAAACATAAATCTGTGCACTTTTATATGTCAATTAAAAATTAAAAATAAAGTAAAAAAGAGCAAGGAGAATATGTAAATACAATACCATTTTATATAAGGGATTTGAGCATCCACAGATTTGGTGTCTGAGGGGCTAAAGTGTGAAGGGTATAGAGATCATGAGGGAAAGGGAATCCTGGAATCAATCCCCTAAGGATTTGTATACACCAACCCTAGGATACACAAATATACATTCTGGGTAGCTTGATAACATTTTGGTTGCTGTTGAAGATTTGGAATCAAAACATAGAGAACTGGGCTGGGGATGTAACTCAGAGGTAAAGTACTTTAGTTAGATCCTTGACACTGCTACAAAACAAAACAACTCCCCACAAACTGTATTTCATATGATTAACTCACAAACAAGACATCATACAGACTGTACTCTGAAGTCCTTTCCAATTCCCATGCTATATTCCTGGATTTTTCACTCTGGAGTGTGCTATGGATGAATGAATAGTCTTTTTTTCTCTTCCCATACAGTCTATCTCAACTGTAATTCCAACACCAGACAGAACAGGTCAGATACATTTGCTGGATTCACTGAATCTTGTCTGTGTTGACAATTTTCTAGAAACCCTTGGGATACATCAAGGAATGAAAGAAAGAACCCTGCCCTTGAGGAGCTCACATTCTAAGAGGACTGCCAAGCACTAATAATAAACATAAAAACAAATTCTATAGAATTTTAAGAGGTGCTAAATGCTTAGGAAAAGAGAAATCATAGAGCTAGGAGAAGGAGATGGGCCCAAATTTTTCATCTCTGGAATTTTCAAATAAAGCAARGTATGTAAAGTGTACAATATAAAAAACTTTTTTTTAGTTGTAGATGAACACAATATTTTATTTATTTTTAGGTGGTGCTGAAGATCGAACCCAGTGCATCACACATGCAAGGAAAGCGCTCTACCACTGAGCTACAATCCTAGCCAGAAAATATACAATGTACTTTTATGAGTCTTATTTGTTTTATTTATGTTCTTTTTGGAGGATATGTCTTTTTTCCCAGCCTGGAATTTCTATGGCAATGATAATGAATAAATACCATTTATTGAGATGCCTGTAGCTGTAGATACCTTTCGCAATTAGCCCATTTGATCCTCCCGACATTTCAAAAGGCAAGTACTACCATTTCTAAGAGCAGATTTACGTGCACTCCTAATGGACATCAACGTTTCTTTCCTGGAGTGCAGTGAAGAGATTTAAGTTATTTAACTGGATCTGATTATTTCAGGATAAAAAAAAGAGATTGACAAGCGCCCTCCTCCGACTTCTTAAAGTCAACCTGGGCGAAGTAGGCGAGAGCACCCGGGTTCCAAAGAGATCCCGGTTTCTTTGAGTCAGGTGAACACAGCGGACTCSCAGGCCAGAGCGTTCACAGTTAGGGCCCGGAACGGCCACAGTACGCGTGCGCAGGGAGGAGCCGGAGCCGGCGCAGGCTTGCCAGAACAGTGGGTGGAGTCTAGGCAAGAGGAAGGGGGCGGGGCCATTCTCTCCCAGCGCAAAAGCGTCCCAGATTGGTTTGTCCCACGTTGCGGCCCTTAGAGCCTCGGAGTTGCCGCCTCCTGCCTGGGAGTGGTGGAGATTAAATCATGTGACAGCGGGGAGGCCGGAACTGGTCCGGCTGTGTGAAGAACAGGGCTTTGATAAAAACAAACGGCGACGGCGTCTCGGCTGTGTCTATGGCCGAGGCGGTGAAGCCCCAGCGCCGGGCCAAGGCCAAGGCCAGCCGGACTAAAACCAAGGTGAGGAGCCGTGCCTCCCTCCGGAGGCTCTGGCAGTGCGCTGCCTCCTTTCTTTCCCTTGGGCCTCTCGAGCCAACTCTCCTCCCATTCCTTGAGCCTCTGCATCCTTCGCTTCCAGCATCTGATCCCACCACTCATTGACACCGGCCCTGCACCTCCATTCCTCCTCCAGCTCCGCCTGCCACACTGTCAGGAACCCACTTCGCCTTCTCCTCCTCTGATCTTACCCAGCTCTTGCTTTTCTGCTCCCTTCTTGACTTTTCTCACCAGGGTTTGGATTCCTGCTGTGAAACACCTCCCCACCCCCTTTTAATTGCATCTTATTTATTTCATTTTATTTTTTTGTAACGTGGGATTTTTGTTAGTCTCTCCTTTCACCAAGAGGAGAGAGACCTCTCCTCCACATTGAGACAGTATCCTCTGTCTGAGCTTTATGGGTAGCGACAGATATAAAATASACTGTAGTGATGTGTCAGTCCTCTTCACTTTCAAAATTCAGGGTGGTACTGCTGTTTCTTCCTATCCCAATTGTTTATGATGGACTAGAAATTAGCCCCAGGCAGGACTCACATAGTAGGGACTTATTTGGGTTTTTCGAGTTTCCTGGTTTAGAGTACATCTGCTATTAATGTAGTTTTAAGTTGATTTGTTCTGTTTTTAGGTGTAAGTTTGGATTTTCATTTTGTCCCTATATATTTTTTTACACGGAATAGATTAAATGCGACTCCTAGATGGCCGGACCTAGATAATTTGGCTTACCTGAAGCAATTTATATAAACGAAGCAAAGAGGATGGTGTTACAACTACAGAAAATGTTCTTTCCAAGTAGTGGGTGTTCCAGAGCAGGTGTAACTTAAGCATGATGCCATAATCTGATCCTCCCCACCCAATGGGAACAGGGTTTTACATGGTTGTCTTATTTACTGAAAATGACTTATGTGGATCACTCTGATTGTGATGTCTTCTTAAAAGTTGTAGTGGAATTAGGCACATCAGTGCATCCAGGTCTGTCAGGAGCCACTCACTGAGAAAGCCATTTTGGTACCTCATTTTAGAAATACTTTAAAGAGAAATAACTTTACATTGTAGTAGATTGGTAGAGAACTATCTACACATAAAAGAAAGAGAAAACTTATTGACCAGGCATGCATAAAGTCCCTGGAAATTAACATAGAGTAAGTAGTACATAACATATGAACATCAGTTGTCTGTAGAGAGTAGAATCTAAAATCTTAATATCTATGYTTTTTTCTCCTCAAGTAAATGATGAAACTAAATCATAGATGGTTTAAATGATAGTCCAGAGTCATTCAGTAAGCATGGAACTCAGGTAAGTCAGAAATTCTGACTCTCAATCAGTAGCTTAATAATTATTTCATATCATATGTCTAGATGTCTCTATTTGTAGAACATTATAAATGTTTAAAAATGATCAGTAAAGAGGATTCTCAAGTTATTTTGTTTAAAACAATTTCCAAATTAAAAAATTAAAAAGTGTCTACTTTTGAATCCCTCCACAAAAGCCAATTGCTTATTTTATTGACATATTTCTTAGACAAACATTCAATAGATTGTTTTCTTAACTGTTAAAAGTTTATGAAGAGGAGCTGGGCGCAGTGGCACATGCCGGTAATTCCAGTGACTAGGGAGGCTGAGGCAGGAGGATGGCAAGTTCGAGGCCATACTCAGCAATATAGTGAGGCCCCCAAGCAATTTAGTGATATCTTGTCTCAAAATAAAAAATAAAAAGGGCTGGAGATGTAGCTCAGTGGTTTAATGTAGCCCTGGGTTTAATCCCCAGTATAAAAAAAATGAGGAGGAGTAGGTGTGATAGTGCATGCCTATAATCCCAACAACTGGGAAAACTAAGGCAGGAACATAGCAAGTTTAAGGCCAGCCTGGGCAATTTCGTAAAATCCTGCCTCAAAATGAAATTAAAGGGGGGCTGTGGATGTAGCTCAGTGGCAAATTGCCCCTGGATTCAATCTCCAGTACTGCATTAACAAAATAATAATAAAGTTTATGAAGAAACCTTCATTTCAGAGGCATTTTTTCAAACCAGAAATCTTTGGTACATACTCTTTCCTCGCCCTGTAAATCTRATTTGTCACTAAATTTATCAGTTATATTTCCCTTCTTTTCATTCTGCCCATTCTTCTCTGTTCTAATTATCATGACCCTTCTCCAAAGAGGATTTYTACTGAATTAGTCTCTCACACTCATTCTTGCTGCCCATTCTCTAAACAAGCTTGTTTGATCAAAAGTTTTCCTAGGTTTCCCATCTCCCAGGGGTTAGAGTTAAAAGCATTAAATCCATGCATGATCTGGCCTTCTTCCTCCTCAGCTTTAGTTCTATTACCACTCTCTTTTGATTCTCAACCATATGATCCTTTCCTGCTGCAGGGCCTTTGCACATGCTGTTTTCTCTTCCCTGACACCCTAATCCTAGGCCCTCTTCATGTAGCCAACTACTGCTCATTTATGATGTCTCAGTTTAAATACTTACTCAGAAAAAAGCTTTTCCTCAGCCTTCTCATGTTACTCTCTCCTTCAGTAACACTTTGCCCCCCTTCTGTGTCCCTCATCTYACTTGTAGTTACTTTGCCACATTTGTCTTCTCCTTTCTATTGTGAACTCACTGAGGGAGGGACCTGTCTTGTTCCCAGTACCCTTCACAACTCCTGAAGTCACTTGATAATTTGTGTGTGTGTTGGGGGTGGGGCTGGGTGTTTAATCCAGGGATGCTCTACTGTTCRAGCTACACCCCTGATACCCAATTAATTTTGAGATGGGGTCTTGCTAAATTACTGAGGTTGGCCTTGAATTTGCCATTCTCCTGTCTCAGAGTCTCARAGTGCTGGGATTACAGAGGTGYACCACCATGCCTGGTGAAATGTTTGTGGAATGAAGAAATAAATGCCAGAATTGAAGTATACTTCTAACCTTTGTCACTCAATTTCACTCTAGTAAATTTCCTCTGGTGGTATAAGAAAATAAATAGAAAAAGTCCACCACCAGCAAGACCCTCTTCCTTGTCAATTTAAGAAAACTAACTCTTCTTTTAGAATAAGTAGATGCCTTTCTTAATGCTGATTGTGGTTCATCATTGTTTTATAGTCCTTTATTAATGAAACCTTTCCATCTGTGATACAATTTGGCCACTGTTTACAGAGCTATAAAGTAGCTTCAAGGCACAGCTCAAGTGGATAGTGTCATGTGCTATTGTCTTTAGTTTGAGTGGCTTCTGGATTTTACCCAGCTGCTGACCTACATTCCTCAATGTTAATCATCTAGTAGGTGACCTCACACACTACATTGCCTTTAGGTGTATGGTGTTTTTCATCTGGTACCTTAAAGATAACATTAGATAATGTTCAAATAACATTTTCATTTTAGTATCATTCTTTGCTAAAACATCTCCCAACTCTGAGGACCCTGACTTCCTTGATCTTGGTGAATTTTGGGTCAGGAAAAGTAAATTCTTAGATTTGAACTTTAGTCTTTAGGAGTAACAGATTTCATAATTATAGAAAGTATTTTTACAGTTAATATTAAATTCTGAATACCAACAACTTATTAATAGTAAGAGCATCTAATAATTGCTAAGGAGGAATTGAGAGGTTTCCTGGAAAGCTGGTAGCAGACACCAGAAGATCATTAAATCGCCATCCCTTTGCTCCCTGCTTAGGCATTGAATTCTACCTCTGGTCCCTCCCCACCATGAGGGGATATGAGACTGAATTGGGGCATGCTGTGTAGTATGACTTAGTTAATTTTGTGTCTCCTAATGTCCATTCACATGTTAAGCAGTTGTTGATCATCTGTTGTGTCCCAGAAATGGTTTTAGGCACTTGGAGTAAAAAAAGAGAAAGAACTCAAAGAACTGGCCTTCATGAAGCTTCTTGAGGGAGAAGACTGACAAAAAGCAAAGAAAAACAAAACCAAACCTCATAAAAATTAAAATATACCAGGGCTGGGGATGTAGCTCAGTGGTAGAGTGCTTGTCCCATGCACGAGGCCCTGGGTTTAATTCTTAGCACCACCAGAATGTGTGTGTGTGTGTGTGTGTGTGTGTGTGTGTGTGTGTGTGTGTTTGTGTGTGTATACACATGCACATATACTTGTATATATGTATATATGTACATATATAGTATACATCACATTAGTAGGTGTAAATGCTGTGGAGAAAAGAAAAGAACAGGTAAAGAGTTGGGGAATACAGGTGAGGAAGTAGGATGGGATACAGTTTTAAATAGGTAGGCAGGGTAGGTTTTACAGAAGGTGACTTTTAAGTGAAGGTATGTAAGAGATAAAGAGATTTTGTCATGTGGGTTATGCGCGTGAGTGTTTCAGCAGAGGGAACAGCTGGAGTAAAGTTACACGGTGGGGGGAGTGATGGCGATTGAGGTCAGAAGGATAGGTCCTTGTCAGGAACAGAATCACCCTAAGTTTTGAGCAGAYGAGGGATGTGACCTCATTTAAAGCTCTCAGGGATCACTGTGTTTTCTYTGTTGAGAAAGGGTTGGAAGGGCTGGGGTAGAAGTACAGAGACCATTCAAGAGACTTGAAGCCATCCTGGCAAGAGGGAATGATAACTTGGACCAGGATAATAGTAGCTAAGGTGCAAGGAAGTGTTTCAAATCCGAGAGGTAAGAGGATTTGCTGAGGTTTGGATGTGGCATGTGAGTAGAAACTGTCGGAACACAGAGGGTAGAACAGGTTTTTCTGGGAAGCTTAGATGTGTTTTGGATGTGTTAATTTTCGGCATTCACCAGGAGAGTAGGGTTGGGTRTGTGAATTTTACTAGAGGGAGCTTTAGGCTGGAGAAAGAGATTTGCAAGTCATTAGCAAATAGATGATATTTAAAGCCAGAATCTGAATTAGGTCATTTGGAGAATGATTATAGTTAAAAARGTGACAAGAACTGAACTCAGGGACACTCCTATTTTAAGAGGTTGGGGAGAAGAGGTGCAGCCATCCTGGTAGGATGTGTTCCTGGT